CGGCCTCGTTTGCCGATTCGCACTTTATGCGCTTTTGTGAGTGCGCTGCCTTTCATGTCTTTGTGCGCGGCCGATACCCAGTTAATTGATATCGAGAGAAGGCTCTCTGGGTTGTGAATATGCAGCATCATGCAATAATGCCCACCTCTATTACTGAAATAATTGCTTCCTGTGCAAAGATTCAGTCCTTCGAAAATTGATATGACCATCCATGATGTAATTCCAAAATCATTGAATTGAGTGGACACTAACAAAAATTAATTATGGTGGCGTGTTGTGAAATTTGTTTATAAATGCTTTCAAAAAAACATTTATAGCTTGCCAGTGCTGGTGAAGAAGCTAAAAAATTTAAAATTTGTACCGGTTGTTAGTCATAAAATTATCAAAATTAGTTTTTTTTAATGATACAAATTTTTGTTATAATTCAAATTATACTTTGGAATTTTAAACGATAATTGTGTTTGTATGAAATTGATTTGGTTTTTTGTGTCTTTAAAATCATCTTCTTTGATGATTTATTTTAGCTTGGGTGATTATAATGGGAAAACTGATTTTCTAAAATTAAAAATTTAAATTCATCAAACCAACTTTCTATCACATAAATAAATTATACGACAGATGCAATTTAATATTACGTGATGTGATTAAACTTATCATACAATTTAAATATCTCATGCATCACTTTTATGCTTTTAAAAATTAAAATTATATTTCAGTTGGCGCGTCTCTATCCTGATAAAACGTGATTGAAAGATATGAGCAGAGATTTGAAAGTTATAAGAGCGGCAAGTAAAAGTGCTTCTGAAAACTACGATTTCAATTAATTTTGGCTTGTTTTGTATTAAATATGTTACTTGTTTGTAATAACTTAAAACAATTTTCTGATATAGATTGTGGAAATTTTGCGGAAGATTTCTCGACACAAATCCAATTATCCTGGGCTGTATCCAAACAACGGTTGTTTGCTGGAGGTGCAAAATCCCTCGGGGTCTCTCTTGTAATGGATAAGTTGCCGGCTGGGTGCGCATTACGCGCAAATTCCGTCACGCGCTTTACTTCTAAAGTACACACATCTAGAACAAAAGACGGCGCGGGATGAAACGCATTTAGCCCTGATATAATCCCAGCACTTGGTGCCGGGGGCGCCCAAATTTGTTTCGCTCTCAAGTACGACGATACATATAAAAACTTATGAATTCATATGCCCGTGAGTGATATTTTTTCTTGAAAGGGAACTTTGTCAATTTTCAGTAACTGGATTTATTCAAATTTGACCTAAAATCAAACAATACTATGTATTCAATCTTGTGATTTGAATCTATTGAGAGAACAGTTCTTCGAATTTAATAGCATTTTATGCATTTTTTTCATTTTCCCTTAAGATTGATTCAACTGAAAAAAATTTACATAAATTTTCATAAATTTCTTTCTTTATTTTGAAATAATATATTGTTGAGCTTTATCGTAGATTTTAGAATAAAAAATAAAAAAAGCAATATTAATAATAAATGAGAAAATGTAGTTAAAAGTTTTTTAATCCCCCGTTTATAAAAAAATTATAATTTATATTTTTATTATATTATTTAATTATATTTAGGGAAGAGTGAAATAAAAAAATTGAAAAATTTCAATTTTTTTTTTTTAAAATAATGTCACCAATAACCGTAGAATAAAGTCGGTTGTTGTTGTTCCCTTGGTAGTGATAGTGTGTGTGCGTGTGTAGCGGGAAAGGTTGCACCTGTGCGAGTTTTGTATGCAAAGCGGGTGGCGTTATTGTGCCTGGCTGCCGGTGCGACAGAAGTGTAAAAACTGCGAAAGCATCAATCACTCTTATCATTTATTTTGCGCCACGCTACACCTCCGGCTGAATGAATTTCCAACTCGCTGCGAAAAACGCGCTGCACTCGCTCGCTCGCTCGCTCGCATTGCTCCACATATAGTGGTGCGGTTGCACGCAAATTTGTTGTTTGTCACTGAGGTTTCCAGATTATCAGCAGTTGTTTGGAGACCATTTGTCATATTCCACAAACGAAATAAGTTTCTCCTAGAATTTCCCTCTAGGTTTTTTTCTTTATCTTTCCCCCAGCATGAATTCATCATTCCTTTTACTTTGGGAGAAAATCTTGTTTTCTGTTGAAACTGACAGTTTATTTTTCTTTTTTCTTATAAAATTTACATATTTCACGGTCGAAACCGTGTAAGTCTCTGATAGGAGATAAATGACGCCTACTTAAAAATTTTTAATCACACTGCAAAAGGTTTTATATTTGGTGCAACGCAAGAAACTAAATGGGAAAAAATTAAAAACAATTTGTTATGTTCATTGGTAAAAATTAAATTAAAATTTGAATTTGGTTAGTAAAAAGGTTCACATGTTCTTGTTGCCATCTATAAAATTCAATTCATGTAAACTATTGAAATATCAGATTCTCTTAATAATTCTATTTTATACAGAACTTTTAGTAAATTAAAACTTTCGTGGAATCCACAGTATATTTTCCTTTCCAGGATATTATTTGCCACATACATTTGATAAAAATTTCATCACAACACGCGGTGTGACTTCCCTAGAAGAGTGCCATCGAAAACCGCGCTAAAGGAAACCTCAAACCAATACCTCAAAAAGTGCAGCGACATACTTTTCGGATTCAAAATTCACCACAAAAATCACATAAACAGTTTAACTCGGAAAGAAAGATCTCGGCTTTATTTAAAAACTGCGGTATCTCTTTCCACGTATAAATTCAATTTTGCGCGCACCCACAAAAATTCACCGCAACCAAGTTTCTTTTATTATTTCCAAATGACGTGGTAAGAATCACTCTGCGGGCATAACCGAAATCCGCTCGCAACGTTCAGCAGCCTGAATTATTATTTTTTTTCGCGGAGAATAAAAGAAAAAAGAAAGAAAAGGTCCCTTTCATTCTCCGTTCGCCATTGTTCTCGGCCACGAGTGCAGCTTTTAAATTATGAAATAAAAAAGGACTGGCGGACGGAGGCGAATAATAATTATTGTTTAATTCGGTGTGCCGCGGTCGGTTTTTTTCGCCACTCGTAATAACCGCGCCGAGAACAATTACCATCTAGCGTTTTTAAATGAATACACAAAGAAACGGCAAAAAATAAGCATTACGTAAAGCCAAATGGGTTTTGCCTGCTGGCTACTAATGTGCATAATGGTGACCTCATTGCACGAGTTAAATTATGTCAATCTTCATTCCCATGCTTGCTGCCGCCGCTCTCATTAGCGTGGAATTTACCTATGCTTTCTCCCTCTCCGGCAGTTTCTTTGTCAGCCCAGGTGGTCGTTGCATGATTGAATTTATGTGAATGAAAAACAATCTTTAGAGCTATTTTATTTTAATGGAGGTTATTTTTCTTAATTAACTGTCGGAGAATTATAAAAAAAAAAATATTCATTGAAAGAAACTGAGGAGCGTTGAAAATTGAAATTAAAATTTGAATAAAGCATACAAGTGACTATGATAAATGTTCCTTAAATGTATGTAAATTGTAAGGTTGTAAAGGTCTTGTTCTTCTCTCTTCCTTTTGTTAAATCTGTAATATTGAAGTTACAGGGGACAGAAAATGACCAATTATTATTATATCTGAAAATACATTTTATTGTAACCACTTATATAATATAATGTATCAAAAACCACTTCAAACAAAACTATCATTGTACGTATTAAAATGAAATTGATTAAAAAAATAAAAGATTATAAAATTACAAAAATTTTCATTTTATAACTGAAATGAGTAAAATGTATATCTAATGTAAATTTACATCATAAAAAATACTGTTCCTAATAATAATAGCACAGTTTACATTTTATAATAATAAATCACAGGGTTATTCATTCTCACTCTCAGTGGACTTTCAAAGTGGACTCATGGTTCTGCATCATCTGATATTGTAATTTTTTATAATGCATCGGAATGGAGACAATTTTTTGATAATTAATATTTTTTAATGTGGATTAATTTATAGTTTTAAAATAAAAATGTTGTTTATACTATAAACCAAAAAATTTGAATATTTTTTTAATATAATAATGAATGTAAATAATGAAAATATTCTCTAAAGTAGTATGTAGTAAACTTGCTCCAATAGATGAGAAGGCCATTTTTCGTCTTTGTGAAAAATCTCGCAGCAGTATAAATGGGCTAAATAAAATCCAAAAACAAAGAAATGGAAAGCGAGTAAAAGCGCCCGTTCTAGACATTTGCAGTAGCTGGGAGTGGCATGCAGAATTAATTTTTGCGCCCATCCCTTTTCATTTTGTATGGTGTGTGTGGGCGTTTCGTGAGAAATGAGAACTCGGCTGCGAAAAGACAGCGAAAGAAAAGTTAAAATGCGCCTTTTCTGTTGCCTGCTTTTATTCTTTGCTGTTTGTTACATTATGAGCAGTGCCATGATGAAATTCGCCTGAGCGACTATTGCTTTCCTCCGCTTTTTAATGGAATAATAAAAAAATCTGAGCGCAGCGTGTGCGAGCTCAAAGTACGTCTCTCCGCTTCAAAATCTCACTCACTTTATATTATGCTTTTATCGCTACTTTTCCACCAACAACGTTACTGATATTATTTGTCATCGCAGAGGCTTCTTATAAAGTTTACATTGCGGCCCGGCTTTTCGATTGTTTTTATGCAAGTTTTGTTTGATTGTTGCAAAAGTCGCTCAAAATTTGCGGTCTGTTAATAGAGTAGAAATGTATTTGAATTTTAAGACCATAGTGACTGACTTCTGAAAAGCTTTTGATCCTAAAATATTTTAAATTATTTTAGAAGATAATATGTTTGTGTCAATAAGAAATGTTCAAACATTGTTGCATTATAATATTATTAATAATGTTAATAATATTATAATTATAATAGTATTAATAATATTAGATTGGAGCTTGCCTTCAGCAAGCTCAAATAAGGGCACAGGCCGATAAGACACTTTGTCTTGGCCTGACCAGAAAAAAAATCAGAATGGACAAATTGAATTAAACAAAATTTATGTACGTTTAAATCATATTATTATCATTGTATTATTTCAGAATTCAAAATTTCTTCAAACAGAATCTTCGCTTGCGACTGTGGTGTTGCCCGTCGCTGTGGTATTGTTTGCCGTCAATGTGTCATTGCTCCCGGACTCCCCTTGACCAAATCTGAAGCCAACATTATTGTTGAAACCACCATTTCCGTTGGGATTATTGTTTCCATTCCAGTTATTGCCAGGATTGTTTCCATTGTTCCAGTTGTTACCAGGATTATTTCCATTATTCCAGTTGTTGCCAGGATTGTTTCCATTGTTCCAGTTGTTGTTGTTGTTGCCCTCAGGTTTATTTCCATTATTCCAGTTATTGGTTCCAGAATTATTTCCAGTATTCCAGGGATCGGTGTGTCCGGGTTTATTTCCAGTATTCCAGTTGTTGCCGTTGTTTCCATTTAAATTGTTGTGATTATTGTTGTTGCCTAAGCCTCCGTTTCCACCCTGGTTCCAGGAACCACCACCGTGTTGTCCGTTTTTCTTATTCCTGGGGTCATTGAACCATTCCTGGATACTTTGCATGACCCTGTTGACCTCAGGGTGTTTGTGAAACTGCTTTTTGCCATTCAGTGGAGCACTGTTGCCAATGGGATTTGAGGGATTTGCGTAGGTCACTCCAGGTTTCAAGACCGTGGACCCACCCTGAGGCCCGAAGTGAGGATCAGAGCCTGGCCTTCCGCTTGGAATGGGTCTGCCCTTGTTTTCATTTGCATTGACAAAACCAGGACGATCAATGCCAACGTCAGAATCTTCAAACTCGTTCAGGTTGATGCCGTTCAACTGACCTCCGAAACCTGCTCTATTCTCTGTGCAGTCGATGTCACGGATGATGGGTCTTCTTTGGAGGGCCTCACCCGCCTTTTGGTCGATTTCGGCGATTTTGTCCGCGGCCAGTGCGGGTGTGTTCTTCTTTTGCAAAAGGAACAGGACGGGCGAGAATCTCTGAGGTTCAAACTGCTGAAGGTTGGGGTAGTGCTTTGCACTGACGCAGGCAGGGGCAAGCAGGAGAAAACTGGAGGCCTCGGCCATCACCACGACAACATTGAATCCGCCTGCAATTAATCAAACTACAGTTTAGATCGTTGCACGAGCTTATTTAGATTACATACCTTTTCCCATGGGGCTGCAGGTCCACAAACCGTGCTGGGATCTGTCGATCGAGCATGAGCTAGAGTTCTTAGTGTCTAATGTAGAGTCGAAAACTGAGAGGACTAGAGCCGGGCCCTGCACTTGGGAAATTTCCTCGGTCAAACATTGCTGGCCGGGCTTGGCGATAGACATGCCCACTAATGCTGCTACCTCGCTCACAGCATATAATTTTTTTGGGGCCCATTGTCCAGTGAGCTGAAAATGAGTGTCAAGATTTAAATTTTTTTTATGCTTTTAAAAAATTATTTTGTTTTCTTGGCAATTACATAATATTTATAATTTGCAATTTCAATAATTAAATTTTCCTCTGGTTCTTTCAATTATTAAAAAATAATTTCATATTTTTATTCAGGACGATTTTTTTGTTGCAATTCAATACTTTGAATATTTCTAAAAAGTATTAACTTTTTCTAGGAACACATGTATTGTGAGCATTAGATTTGTAAAAATTACAGCAGGTAAAACAATCATAAATTAAATTTACTAAGAAAATTATTACCTGTTGAAGTGCGAGCGTTTTCAGAGGTGTGAGAGCCTTGCACGGAATGAAAGGCGTAGTAATCGGTTCTGAATCCGCTTTCGCCGATGCAATGCACACCGCGAGAAGCGCGAGCAGACGAGAGCTCTTCATTCTGGAGGCGCTGCAAAAACGATCTGTCACCCGACTCGATTTAAAGTGACTTTTATGTGCCGGCGCGCGACCGCAGCCACGTCCGACGATAATTCCACGCCGACGTCGCACATCCGCGAATTAATGTGCCGCCGCGGCTTCTTCGAGAAACTCTCAGCACTCAATTCAATTACGCAAGAATTAGGGCCGACCCACTGAATCAGAAGATTCTGAATTAAGTGTGAGCCGCCAATGCCGCCATCGTAGACGCATAAAACTTGCTGAAAGTTTTACCCGGCTAATTGACTTTTTATAGTTCTGAGATAAAAATTCCTGCCGAAAAGAATCCTCTACAAAAATGTAATTGATCTTCTTGATCGAAGGGTAAAAGGGTTTTTAATAATATTTTCTCCAAATTTCACTCTGACATAGGATTTTTGCAAATTTTGCCATTATGATTCAAAATATCAGTTTGATATGCATATGGAAAATTTAAAATTTCATCATACAACTGTACAAAAATTAAATTTTTGTTTCTGATGTGATTTGAGACTTATTAAGGGAATTTTTCGATTTTATTATCATATTATTATTGCTTAATTTTTTGGCAATACTGTTTGCATAAATTTCATTTGAATCTTTAAAAAAAAATCAGGGATTTCATGGTCATGAGAATTAAAATTTTTATTCTACAATAAATAAAAAACTAAATTTTTCTTGAATCACAATACGAACAATAGTTTCACAAAAGTTTTGATAGTGTGGCCAATTTTTTTTACTTAGAAATTAGAATTAAATATTAAATTTGAATTGAATGCAACTCCTTTAGATGTAGAAGAAAACTGACACTTAAAAATTAAATTAAAAATTTAAATCAAAATTCGTTTTTTTTCAGCGGGTTGCATAATCATTAAATTTACAATATTTGTCACTTCTCACCTACGTGATTTATGAATTATATCAAGCAATTTTAGTCCAAATTAATGACCGTGTCTGTCGTTATTTACAGAGCAGAAGACGGCAGGATTTTTATTATCCTTATAAAGTGACTAAACGCCAGCATCATAAGGCGCGACTCAAGCAAAGTTCACCCTCTTTATTTACAACGCGAGAGCAAAAACAACGCGCGTGTAATTATACAGCAGCTCATCCCTTACACAGAAGAAGAAGAAGAGTTAAGGAGCGAGCTCTTCACTTTTAATGTCCTCAGCCTTTATATTATGCGAGCCTCTTCTTTCTTCCCCTGTGCAGAGGGACAAGAAAAATGGTGCTTTTAGTTGGGGCACTTATTCTTTTATTTCCCTCTCATTGCCACCCTGGTAGCTTCTTCTAATCATGTCCTACTGGCTTTTTCCAAAAGAGATGATTCGGCTGATCTGATGTGCATTTTTTCTTTCTTTTTGCCCAGCTGAATTTTATGGGGCGCCATTATTTAGATGTATCGCTTGAAAATTTGCCTGCCGGAGAGAGTGCGAGAAAAAAAAATATTCGATGCTCCGTTAGTTTTGGCCCAGTGAGGCCGAGGAAAGAAAAATTGGCCCAGGGATGAAGGGGCCGCAAGCTAACGAGCACAAATATACTCGCAAAAGGAAGAGAGAATAAGACACTGCACTTGAGGTCCCTGCCCCTTCGGCATAAAACTTGGCGGGAGGTTTTATTTCACACTGCTGCTGCTAGCAGCCGCCATTATTTACCGTATATTCGCGCCGTGTTTGTCTTGCTTAAAAAGAAAAGCAACAGAGAATAAACAAAATGTGTAAAATAAAGAGAGAGGTGAAATCTTGCTCTCAAAGTAAAGAAATAACGGAAAGGGAAAGGCGGAAGAGCGAGGAGGCTATTAAGAAGCGAAACACGTCTCGATGAGGAAAAACAGTGGCAAAAAATTATTTTACCATAAATACACTCGGCGTGGTGCGTGCGCGGGAGGGAGGCTTTTTCCCTCGGCCCATTCTCTCAAAAGAAAAACGCCGGAATTTATTTTCCGCGATGTGCCCACATTTATCACCACAGCCAAACGAGTTCCGGAGTAAATTGTGTTTTAATATTTAGGGCGGGTGCCTCGTTTTTTGCTCTCCAAATTTTGCTCCACTTGAAAAATAGTCCACTTTCCGGCCGACGTGATTTTGTGAAAAGTACTTTGCACGCGAGACACGCGGTGCTGGTTTTTCCATAATTAATTGCTTGTTTCGCCTGTTGATTAAATTAGCTATTTTCTCCGTTGCGGAAATGAAAACGCCATTATGCACCGAGAGCAATTTATCTGTTCGCGACACATCAAACCGCCCGGGGAGCTATGATTAATCGCTATCGATGAAAAGTCTTGCCGAGTTTGTTAGTAACTTGCCCAGAGTAAATGGAAACTCCGAAGTATAACTTTGAAAATTGATAAGAGTGCACTTGAAAGGAGGGGGAATAGTTAAATGCGTGGCATATAAACTTTTAAAGGCTCAAAGAAAATCAATTTTAGACAATTTTTCAATCCCAAAGAGCAAGAATGCATTCGAATAATTATTTAATATTTACATTTTCAGCGACCGTGAATCAATTTAATTCCACCAGATCAAATCAACTAAGAAATTCGTAAATGAAAATTTCTAAATAAAATTTTTTTCTTTTACCATCCTTTAAAAAAAGGAAGATAATATGTTGTTGGCGTTTTTATTTGATGAGAATTTGGCTTTTATTTTACATATTTGAGACAAAAAGAATTTCAATCAAATCAAAGTTTTCCAGCATTATCAACTAGTGAGAGCTCAGTTAAAATTTTATCAAAAATTTACCCCCTAAACCTCAAATATTATTATTATTGTTCTTTTGACTCAAATTATAGGCTTTTTGAGAATTTGAGACAAAGCCGGTGTAAAATAAGTTAGAAAATCCCTGTTGTAATAATTAAAATTAATAAGGAACGTAATTCTACATCAGGGCGATTAATCGCAAGTATTAGTTCCCACTAATTCCAATTATAGTATTTGAGATTGCTTTTTTGTCATTTATAATGTTGTTTTTAAATAAGATTTAAAAATACGGATTTAGAGGCGATTTTATTTTAGCAAAAGAGAGTTGAAAAAAAGATAATTAATTTGAATAGAATCAAATTAGTTTGTTTAGTTGCTTTTGATATATAATACCTTCGCTCATATATACTTTATTTAATGATAGATATCATTAACCATTAAATTTTGTTAATTCGCAAATGTAAAAATAGTGAAAATTTTCAGTTGAACATCACAAAAACTTTTTGCCTTTTTTCCTTCATTTTAGCATTGGCATTGGTTTTCAAAGACTACCTTTCTTTTGATCTCAATTGTAATTAATATGACCCTACTTCAACTTCAAAGCGATTTTAAAACTTAATTGACATGATGCATGCGTAAGCCAATTAATTTCAAGTGTTGGAGTTTGAACCGTATTTTGCAACACAGGTCCGCCTGCCCTGTAATTCAGTTAGTCCAAAAATAACGTCGAGAGACGCAAAGAATGGCGTCGGCTAATTAAATAAAGACTACCATGGCGACGCGTCTTTCTTAATTTGCCCAGATTTAGGGTTGTCGCACAGAGAGGTAAACACACTCCTACCTCGCTGCTGCTTTTTCAGTTTTAACGCCGGTGTGTTTTGCCAAGTGATAATTGCAGCACCGGCGCTTGCAAGAAGATCCGTGGCGGCGACGGCGGCACACAAGCGCCTTCCGGTCGTAAATCTTCTCGCTTTGGCGAACAAGACGACAGGTTTTTCATTCCTCGTTTGAACCGATATATGATTTTTAAGGCTGTCGAGGGAGCGCAGAAAACGACAGTGTGTTTTGAATTACGACCATGTTTCATTGATTTTTAAAGCGGATGCAAACAGTATAAATTGAAAATTCTTGCACAAATAGTTTCCTCTCTATTGAATAATACAATAAAGGCACTACAAATTTAGTGTAGATTTAGATATTTTATTATAAATTAAATTATTTTTTTACTTTTTATAAATCGTCATCTGTGTCTAGGATTTAAAAAATTTAATACTTAAAATACGGTTAGAAAGAAATTCTTAAATCAACAAGTCCACCATTGCAGCTTCGAGTGACTTTTTACTTTTTTTAATTTGAAATTTTTGTTCATATATTTTGAATTAATTTTTATGCATGTAATTGATACCTTGTATTATTATAATTTAAATATAATTAGAATTACAAATGAATTATGATCATAGCTGCACTGAACCGCGTTGTGTAAAAAAATCTCATATAATGCAGCATGGCAAGAGATATTGTTAGATCAATGCGCTGCAGTTGCAGTTGCGGGTTCCGGTTTGTCTAACGATTGAATATTTTCCTTCATACTAGTAATTTTTTTCTCAATAAATTTTAAAACATTCAGGCAAATGAACCGACGATAGTAATAATAATATCTTGCATATTTCCTCAAGAATATTTATCGTACTTTTTTTTTTAACAATTTTCCTCGCTGGCAGAAGTACCGATGCAATTACTCCACGGTGTAACTTATTCAGACACGCGAGAGAGGAAAATGCATTTGGACAAGTGCGGAAGAGGAGTGCTCGGAAACTGCATTTTTCATGCGAACGAGCAAACTGACCTACTGAACATAAATTAAAGTTGATCTTAACTGCATTGAAATAGGACTATTTCAATGCAGTTAAGATCAACTTTAATTTATGTTCAGTAGGTCAGTTTGCTCGTTCGCATGAAAAATGCAGTTTCCGAGCACTCCTCTTCCGCACTTGTCCAAATGCATTTTCCTCTCTCGCGTGTCTGAATAAGTTACACCGTGGAGTAATTGCATCGGTACTTCTGCCAGCGAGGAAAATAAAAGCAGAACGAAGGCGGTCTGTCCTCTGGCTGTAAAAAAGTTGCTGGTAATGGAGAAGCGCAAACTTCACTCAACGGCACACTTTTCATTTATTTAAAATGTGGATATATAAACGCGCGTTCATCTTTTTACGTTCGCTGCGGCAAAGGGAGACGCACCTTGCTCGTTTGTAATCTGTTGCGCGCCTCCTCGTCGGATGTATTATGACCAATTCGTTGTCTTTTTACGACTGCTTTTGATGGCTCGTCTCTCGCAAATATATCACGCCGTAATTTGGATTTTAATTAATTCATTTATCAACTTTATTGCGTGCTTAGCCCAACGCACGGCGTGCGTTTTATGTTCGTTTGAAAAGTTTTTTTTTCTCTAAACCGTACACTCTAAAAAACAGTGACGCACTTTAGGTTCTCTGAAAAAAAAATTGTATATTCTTCATTTCATGAGTTTTATCATATTTCTTTGAAGGATTTAAACTAGGTCAATATTGTATCAATTCGTTATACAATTTTTTTTTCAATTATTCAGGTTTTAATAATCTGTATTTCTAACCTAAAGAAATTTGCTGTCAATTACCAAAGAGGTAGCAAATATTTTTTGTTTTTAAAATTATAATTTAAATGAATACAACATTTTCCGTTTAAATTTGTATTTAAAAGAACAAAATAAATCCTATTTTCCTTCCGCATTTTTCTTTTAAATCAGAAAATTCTTAAGATTTTTAAATTAACGTGGGCACTTAAATTGCAACAATTAAAGCAATTAAAGTATATCTAAGAATAATGAAAATTGTTTTATCGGATTGTAAGTCAAATTTATGCATTTTAGATTTCACACTTTTTCTTTGATTGAAAAATAAATTTTGTATTTCTTTATGTTTTAGCTGCTGGACCCGAGTACTGGTACGCCGAAGCTCGGACGCAACTGCACCGCGCCCTTCACAGTCCTCCTCAGGGCGGTGTGGCGAAGAACGTGGTGCTCGTGGTGGGCGACGGCATGTCGTTGGCAACTGTGACGGCGGCCAGGATTCTTCGCGGCCAACAACTCGGCATGTCAGGCGAGGAGCATCAACTGGCCTTTGAGAAGTTCCCGCACCTCGCCCTTGCAAAGGTGAGTCGAGATCACTGTTAAATTTATTACTATAAATACCTGATTTTTAGTTCATTTTATTTTTCCTCTGCATACAATCAAAATTTAATAAAAGTACAAAAATGCATACAAAATCAATGCGAAAACAAATTTATATTAGGTAATATGGAGGGGGTATTATTGATCTCGGAAATCTTAGCAAACAATTCTGCTAGTTGGTGCTAGTGCTGTTTTATTCAATTAATTAATTTTCTTTATAACAAATTTATCAAATATAATGTAGGCAAAAAAATTAACAAGATAATAATAAAAAAAAACGTGGTACTGATGTGTATTTCATATCATAAAATATTGATCAGAAAAAAAACTTTTGAATTTTTCTCATCCTTTTTTAATATCACTCAGCGTTACTCAAAGGAATCAAAGCTATTTTTCGATTTCTTTTTTGTTGTAAATTTTGGGCATTAGTTGAGTTGTGAATAAAAATAACCAAAGGATGCTTTGAGTGGAAATATCAAGAGATCTTGCGAATTCCAGATTAGGGGGGCACCTTTGACAGTTTAGAATAAGTATGTAAAGTGCGTGTTTCCTTTGATGTTCTTTTACGAAAGAGCACAAATCCCTCTTTCTTTGAGGACTTGTTTGCCGAATTCCTTTTCCTCTTGGCCTCCGTGATATTTTGGAAAGGTCGGAGGGCAATTTGACGCGAATCTCCTGTTTTCGACGATGAATAGATATGGCGGATAGTTTGCTTGTCGCGTTGCGCAACACACCATCGTGGCTGAAGGGCATTAGAAAATCCGAGCCGCAGTTTGCCAACTCTTAGAACTGACAAAGTTGCCGGCCGTTTAGTTACCAAGAGCAAAAAATAGCACGACACCAAGAAGTCTAGTCGTGAAAGAGTCGATTTTCTTCCTTACGTCGACCGGCAGTTCACATTCAAGTAAATTTCATTTGCAAATCAAGCAGAGTGCCTTGTGTCTCGATTAGGAGACACGCGAACTGCGAATCAGCAACTGCGTTACATTTGTTTTTCAACTTCCTCAACAATTTCGTCTCTCTTTTTATTAGCTTTCTTCCCAGCAATTTGCAGGCAGATACTTTGATTAGTGACGGCAGATTTGGAAAAACGTTTTCTGAAATTTGGGACATGCGTGCGTTTTATAAACACTTGTTTTCCCGGAAATTCTTGACATACACAAGTTAATCAATCGAAAGTAGTTTTATCATTTACCGCTTAAATACATTATTTGTTCAAAGGGTGCCTGCAACTGTCTTATTGTTGGAAAAAAATAAAATAAATATCTTTAGTTTCATATCCCTTAACACAAAAATTAAAAAAAAAAAACATTGTAAAATATATTTTTGCCTAAAAACAAAGCTAATGGGAGTTATTTAATTCAAAGAATGAGACTAAAAAGTGGCCTTTGTTGAGATCAAAAATGTGCTTTTTCATCGTTGATTTCGGTTGAAATAATTTAAATTACCTGTCAATCAAATGTTAAACAATTTTAAAAGGCATCTAGAAAACAATCTGTCCATGTAGTTGTTCACAACGAAATCAATTTTGCCATAAAATGGGGTTGACGGGATGCACTTTACGTGTGACGCAAAACACGGTTAACAAATAGGTGAGCGAGCACGTGTGAATATAGTGCAGGGCTAAATATAGACCATCATAATAACACGTGCGCGAGAGTACAAAATTAAAATTCAAATGAGGCTGCGGGGAGTGGAGGTGAGCCGTGGTATGAAAAGTACACTTTGCAATCGCGCGCAATCAAGATAAAGCGCGCGGCCATATATTGGCAGCGAGTTTCAATAAGCACCGAGAGCGCAGCCATCCGGGCGTGAGAGGTCGTCAAAGGGCGCCATTAGGCGCCACACTAGCGCCACCGAAAAGTGTCATTATTCCACTATTATTATCAGGCCGAGCCATCTCGTGCGGGCGCCAATCATGTGCGGGCACTATTGTCTTCATTAATTCGCGACCAGCAGCCTGTTGTTTTTACGCCGTGAATTTATTATGCGAGCTTTCGCATAAAACTACTGCTCTGCTACTGCCCCTGATGGCCATGTCGTAAACGGGTCGCTGCGAGACGCGCTATTTGGATTCGGAATTGAAGGCCAGGTACATAATAATGACGCGTCCAGTAAATCCAATCAAACTTTACTGCCCGCTCAAAAGCCGACCTCGTTAAAATAAATTTCCCGGGTGGCTTAAGAGGGCGAATCATTGCAACTAATTTGATTAAATATAAAAACTTTCATGAATATTTATTTTAGGGTTTGATGTATTTGCTTCCGTTGAAAATGTTTTACAAATTTCCATATATTTATTATTTGGTTCTATAGTTTTAAATCAAAATATTTGTTTTTATTTTTAATATCTCTTTTCTATTAGCAAAATAGAATTAAAAAAAATTGAATAGAAGTTTCAGATTACTTTGAGATTTATAAGTAATTATGAAATATTCGCATAATAAGCTGTAACTTTTTCATTTGTCTAAAAACAAAGTTCCTAATTCGTGTAGGAATTAATTGTCCCCCAAAAGAGAAGAGAATATTAAATTTTATGTAAATAAATTGAAAAATGTAATTTAATAATTTAAACAAACATTTCTCCACTTGTAAATCCAATTTGGATGAAATGATTAAAAATATTTTTAATATAACAAAAAATATTAATATTGACATTAAGTGTGTCGCTGTTAGAGCTATTTAAAGTAGAGCTTAGGATTTTTATAAATGTTTGATAAATCGTCAAAAAAAATATTCACAACAACTTGATTCAATTAACTTGGAGTATTCAAGATTGCTGTCGTTACACAAAATCAAAATTGAGTTTCTCACTTTAACAACTTTGCGTAATGCGACACAAGTTGGAATTAAATTGCGCGAGTGACTGTGATTTAATTACACAGATGCTCAACGTGATAATTGGAATTACTTGTTTGGCGCTGCACACGTCAACTGAAATGCACCCTGGAGGCGTTTTGCAGCTTCGACCACTTTTCATCCAGACAAGTTCCGAGGACGAGCAGAAACTTTTCAAAACGTCAAGTGATAAGAAAACTGCTCGCTCTCTCTTGGCTAACGGCTTGCATGAAATCAGGCTGAAAAATAGTCGCCGGCGGCAAAGTTAAATGCACTCGATTATCGCCGCTCGCAACTCCATTCCCAGATTAACACAAAAGCTGCTTCAAAGTCCTCGCCCATCACTAACTCTTCGCTTTTGTCGCCAAAACTGTTTTAAAGTTGCGACACGAAACTTGTCTCTTTGTTTCTATCCAGAAAAGATCGCAACTTGTAGAAGAGGAAAGAGATGGGGAAAATCCTTCAACGTTTTTTTTTTTTAAAGGCATGTCTTGTGATTTTTTTAAAATTAAAAAATTTTGCATCAATTTACTTTTCTTAGAATTTAGCATTCCAGGCCAAAGAATTAAACGTAAATGTTCAAATAATTTTAATTTCTTTTGGCGATCTTATTCTAGTTGATTTATTTTATGTAATATTTCGAAATTTTTTTACTTGAAGGACCCATTAATTGAAAAGTGTATCCAGTGTTATTTTTGTCATTCTTTCCTAGCTTCAATATTCTCTACTTGTCCAACTTTATAAATTTAATTTGCAGCATAAAACACAAAACCATATACAGAATTTTTCAGGAACCGTTAAAAATTTATGAAATGGCAGTAGTGAAGTGTTGACCTCTCAAATAAAAGTTTAAAAAGAAGCTCATTCATTACAAATTCCCCCTTTTTTTTGAGCTGGAAGTGGCTCCTTCAAGTCAGCACTTAATTGATTGAGCCGTTTTTTTTAAGGGAAATTCAATGAAAGAGGTGCTAAGGCAATTACGGCGATCTAATGAACCGTTTTAAATAAACCAATCTGTCAAAAAGTAATCTCTTATAATTGGCCCTTAACGTCAGCTGCATTCACAAAATTTGCCAGGTGTTAATTTTATTGATTCTTCCTCTCAAATAATTTACGCCGAGGCAGAGGACCAGTCAAAAGCGAATTCAATTCAACGCTTCCCTGAGCTCGTTCGCCGCTTTCCAGAATTAACAAAGAGAAACAGCGTTCCTAATCAAATTTGCATCTCTCTCTCTTCCTGCCGTCGCTGAGAGTTCTTGATGAAATCTCAAAGTGCGAAATTTAATATTCCCGGGGTGCCTTTCTGCAGCGGCTTCACAAAACTACACGAAATTTACCTTTTTGCCGGCCGACCCCCTTCTGGCAATTAGCAGTAAATTTAATTTTATAATTAAAGCACTTTTTCTTTCCGGCTCCCTCAAGTCGCATTAGGTGCGCGCTTGAGGGATACTTTATTTGAGCTAAAAATAAATGGACGGTTAAAAAGCGAGCGCCCAGCGGAGGCTCCATTACCTTACTCAATGGCCGTGCAAGTTGAAAGAACACGCCACTGCGGCTGCATTTTTAATGGCGAGTTATTATGGACTAGAAAAATCCACGTCAAAAACCAAAATTATAATGGCTTTTACTCATTTTTTGTTCATTTATTTAATATATTTATTGTAAAAAACTACGCAAGGGAATATCACTATCTGATTTTAATGAATATTATTTGGGAGACTCTCTATGCCAAGATTTACTCGTGCAAATTATCTCTCGTGCCAACTTTCCGGAAACTTTTGAGTCTCAAATCTTTTTCAATTAATTTAAAAAAAAAAAAAAAAAAACAATCCACAAAGAAATTATTTGAAAATCGTTTATAGAAAGAAACAGAAACATACTCAAAATTTGCTACAAAAATCAAGGAAATCATCAATCGTAATCAATGTTTTTCATATCAGAGTTCAGAGATGCTTTAATTCTAAAAAAGTGAAAAGGGATTGCAACAACATTCTTCCCTGTTTTTTCCTTTTCCTCCGCTACAAGAAAATGAGAAAAAATTGTTTTATTATAAAATCTTCTGAAAATTTTAGAAACTGAACAAAAAGAGTTATTAAGAAATGGGCAGGGAGAGCAAACGAGAAACGAAAGGCGAGAGCGAATCG